TCAAGTTCCAGATGTGTACTTTCAGTGTCCCGCTGGACTTCCTCCTCAGGACTATGGGCACTCAGCACATTCAAAATGGAACAAACTGCTCCCCTCATGCCCAAACTCCATTTATTGTTTCCTTTTCATTATTTTATTAAGGCATCATTGATAGACACTCTTATGAAGGTTTCACATGAACAGCACTGTGGTTACTACATTCATGCATATTATCAAGTCCCCTACATACTACATTGCAGTCACTGTCCACCAGTGTAGTAAGATGCTATGGAGTCACTACTTGTCTTCTCTGTGCTGTACCCCATGAGCACTCCCCCATTATGTATGCTAATTGAATACCCCTCAGTCCCCTTCTCCCTCCCTCCCCACCTCCCCTCTCCCACCCCTCCCCTTTGGTAACCACTAGTCCCTTCTTGGAGTCTGTGAGTCTGCTGCTGTTTTGTTCCTTCAGTTCTGCTTTACTGTTACACTCCACAAATGAGTGAAATCATTTGGTATTTGTCTTTCTCCACTTGCTTTTTTCACTGAGCATAATACCCTCTAGCTCTATCCATGTTGTTGCAAATGGTAGGATCTGTTTTTTTCTTATAGCTGAGTAATATTCCATTGTGTATATATACCACATCTTCTTTATCCATTAATCTACTGATGGACACTTAGGTTGCTTCCATGTCTTGGCTATTGTAAATAGTGCTGCGATAAACACAGGGGAGCATATGTCTTTTTAAATCTGTGATCTTATTTTCTTAGGGTAAATTCCTAGGAGTGGAATTCCTGGGTCAAATGGTATTTCTATTTTGAGTTTTTTGAGGAACCTCCATACTGCTTTCCACAATGGTTGAACTAATTTACATTCCTAGCAGCAGTGTAGGAGGGTTCCCCTTTCTCCGCAACCTTGCCGGCATATGTTGTTTCTTGTCTTTTGGATGTTGGCCATCCTAACTGGTGTGAAATGATATCTCATTGTGGTTCCATTTATTGTTTTCACCTTCCTCATTCTGTTAGGGGCCCCTAGTTCATTGGTCTTTTGTATTTGAACCCTTAACTTCCTCCTTCTTTGGTAGTAATTCCCGAACTCTGGTCCTAGGGCCTATTTACACATTAAAAATTATTAAGGACCCCAGAGAGTTTTTGTGTTAAGTAATGGGGTCCTTTAGTTGGAAAACAGATGTGGCAGAGAAAGGCAACTAAAACTTTTAGGCATGTAGTCACTCATAAAGAGAAATGTCTCCTAACAGATAATATGCCATATTCCTGGAAAAGTAAATGTGAGCAATTCATTTAACCAGCACAGAGGTTACCAGACCCCTAGGCACTGGACTCTGGCACCAGTGGGATAATGGTGTTAGTTTCTGGCCATGGAGTGGTGTTGAGACACCCACCCTACCGTCCTTTCCCTCGCATCACTTAATACATTCTTTCTGCCTAAGCCTACAGGGAAAATGTTTTTACTCATTCAGAGATGAATGTAGAAACCTATCCCTTCCAAAGCCCTCCCTACGACACAGCCACTGGAGGGCTGAACTGCCCTACTCTGCTGCCATCGCACGGGTCAGTGACCCTGTCTGTCATGGATGGCAAAACACGGTAACGAGACACAAAGAGCCATACTCCCCAGACTGAAGTGTCCTTAGGGCTCCATATGTGTCTCTAAGAATTAATATAGTGAAACCGTGAGGGCTGAGGGCAGCTGAGTCCCATGGCCACTCTAAACATCGTCTCATGACACTTTCCTAACTACACATGGAAATATCAGTAAGTGGGAAGATGATTTTCTAAACCTAACATAGGACCCTTCTTTGATTAAGTGGTCCCTTCATAAAATTCAAAATCCCTTTATTGAGATGTTAACTTTAATGGGTTTGGTTGGAAGGAATACAGTTTGTCAAGATTAATGTACTCCTCAGAGGTGGCCCAGGACAAAATGAGTGAGTTTAATTAGTACCTGTTATACTCCTGACTGCCAGTTCTATTGCTTTAGGAATATATATATCAGTTTTCTTATCCTTTACTGTCTGTACACAACAATCCCCCCTCCTCTTTTTTTTTGTTGCTCATTTTAAACAAGGAAAATCTAGAATGCCAGTTTGAGATAAATAAAAGCTATAGTAAATTAGTAATTTACTATATGTAATTAATTAGTAAATTAATTAGTAAATTAATTAGTAAATTAAAGCATGTAATTTAATTAGTAAATTAAAGAAAATAACTGATATTTCTTACTGTCTGGCAAATATAGATAACACAGTTTCCATTTATTGGCCCAATAGTCAATTCAAATGTCATGACAAGACCTATATGGCATGAAAAATTGTGTGTGTGTTCTAAACTCTTATTTTGTCCATTTAAGCCCCATATTATTGCTCACTGGAAAACATTAAGTTCTGTCTTCCATAACCTAGAAAACCAGTAAGAGAAGACCTCTTTAAAATTTTTGATCTAAGGAGGTGAGCTACTAAATAAGAATGTTAGTTTAGTTTCATTCATTTTTATGAGTGAAATCCTGAAGGGAATAAGACTTTTGGCCTGTTGAAAAGCACAAGGTACCTTCATGATTCCTGACATAATTCTACACACAGTTTTATAGCATCGTATCTCAGAGATGCTTCATGTACAGAGATAGGTTATAATCTTAAAAATAAAAGGAAATTCCCTTTACAGGTTCCAAATGAGAGCCAACAGGTTTGCATGTGAAAAGCATGGGATCTACACTCAAGAGAAGGGTTTCAGTCCTGCTGCTGACAAAACGGGCTAATTACTTAGACATTGCCTCTTGTATTTTGTTTCTGCAACAAAGTGTCACTAATATTTACCTAAGTGTCTGGTGGGTAAACATGCAATACAGGCAAGCAAGTTTTATTTAAATCTTGGCTTCAGCTAGAAGTCTACCTGTAATGTTAATAAAAATTTCACCTCTCCATGTTTATATGGCAAGGAGTGCAAACAGCATCCACCAATAATCAAATTGTTGATATTACCATTGTTAGGGGAACCTGGGACTTAGTAAGACAGTGGCCTGTGTTTAATGGTAAGAGCTAGAATGGAACTTAGGTTTCTAATTCTGGAGTTCAAATCAGTGTGAAGGTGAGATTCTGGCACTCCCATGGTGCCTGTCAAATTGCCAAGTTGTGCTGGTCTTAATCATACAAATGGAAAAAAACTTACTTTGAAACGGAATAGCTCTGAAGCACTGTCATTGTCTTTAGCATGCAGCCCCCTCGGCTGAGAACCTTGCAGAATTATTGTAGAAAGGGTAGAAATGTGTTGGTGAAAGCTGTCCACACGCTGTGCCTGTACATTTAGGAGTAAATCATGGTGCTCTTCCTGCTGTTTGGTGCTCTGTCTGTTGACATTAAAATGTCCTCACAACTTATAAAAATCATTAAGGATTCTATTTGCACCTCCCTGGTGGGAAGTTAGGAAATAAAACCATGCCAGCCAATGTACATTTCAAATATTTACAATACTGTACTTTCTCTCCAGGCAGTACTCTTGCAGAGAAATTAGTGTAGACACAGAACAGCCCTCCCCAAGGCTGGCATTTTATTAAGGAAATCTGAGTCGCTTGTTTCTCCATCGTCCCCCAGAACCCTGATCTCCTTATGTCTGATGCTCCTGCCAGATAATGAAGAAAGGACAAGAAAAGAAAAGGGAAAGTGATGGGGAAGGCAGCGGGAAGGGAGAGGAAGGCAAGAGAAGGAAAGGAGAGAAAGAGCTTGGGACAGGTACAGGGCGGGGAAAAGGGGAGAGAAAAGAGTGGCTGGCACTCAGCAGTTGCTTAGTAAATGTTTACCCTGAACTGGGCCTGCACTAACTTGCTTCCTTCTGAAGCTCAATTGTGGTATCAGTAACAAGGGACACACAGTAATAGCAATATTTACCTTCCTCAGCAATCTCATTCACCTTTGCCAGGCGTTTTCTTATGGGGGGGATTTCTTTAGAAGCGTGTGGCTCCATCGTGCGGCTCTGCACTGACTCTATCCTCTGTAAAGCAGAGGTTGCTCTACAAACCACATTCTTTCAAGTAGACGATGACAGCTAACATCTAATGAGCATTTCTTATGTATTGGCATTACGTTAACCACCTAAAACATATTATGTCATTTAATACTCAAAGTAACCCTGAAAAGTCAGTACTTTCTCAGGCTCATTTTGCAGAGATGAAATGGGAGCAGATGGGAAAAGGTCACACAGCCCAAAAGGAATCAGGATTTGCTTTTGGGTCTTCCTGGCTCCAAAGGCTATGCTTTCCACCAATAGATGACGTGTTTCTCTCCACAAAGAGCTAGGATTTATTTTTCTCTTTTGTCACTTGGGAGAGTGGTGAGCATAAAGAGAGGTTCTTCTCTGTACAGTGTACTGGGAATTAAGTGCTTTCTGATCTTTAAATGTTATAACATGCCTCTTGTGATATTGCTTCATAAATATGGATAATCTCTACCTACTTCATTTTACAAAGGATTGTCATACCAGTTCCCTCTTATGAGAACTGGAATAAGATATTGTACTTCAGAAACCTAAATGATCAAATTAATTCATATATGTATATATATGTGTATGTATGTGTAGTACATGTAATGCATATACACATACTTTTAATGCCATATATTAACATTGGTTTAAGAAATTCTTATATGAGTATTTATATACACCCAAAGCATCTCTTAATATTTTTTAAACTTCTAGTAAGGGCATTTCGTATTTCTCAGCATTTTTATGTCCTCTTCTCAAACTGAACCATCATATATATCAGCTCCGTGATATAGGCCTTGCAGAGATTATTGTCTCTGTTTTAAAACTGAGGCAGCACAGTTTTAGTGAAGTGATTTGCTGGAAGATTCACAGCCAACAGAGCTGCAGCTGCCATTCAGACCCCCTGTAAGGCTACTTCATTCTTTTATTTTATATCATTTGAGTCAAAGCTGTAATGGGAGCTGAGTTTGCTTTATTGCAGATGCTTCCATGTCTTTTGTTGACAGCACATAAGTATGCGTGTCCCGTCCCATCCATACCCACAGTGGCTGCACTGCAGCTGTGGGAAAACCAGGCATCTTTAGAAGAGTGCGCAGTAACGGGTGCGCGCGCATCACCTGGGACTCGTTCAGCTTTGTTCAGTAGCTCTGCGGCGGGATCTGAGAGTCTGCGTCTCTACCAAGCCCCGGATGCTGCTGATCCATTGCCCACCCTGTGAGTATCAATAATTTAGATCATCTGTGAAATGAAAGGTGACAGAGAAATGTGTGACAAGGGAAAGAATTCTGTTGATCTTGTTTTATTTTTATGTGGGAAGTAGTCAACCCAAGAAAGAGGCACTGAAGTAATTTTGGCAACCCTCTATCTAGTCCTCTGACTCCAGAATAGATACAAAGCATCTACCTCTCCCTGCCCCACCTGCCACACATTTGTTCACACTATCTGAATTTTTTTTCACTTGATGAAGTTGTACACAATCTTCTTATGTACCACTAAAAGATTCTTTTGAATTAATAAGCATGTTTTTTAAAATTATTTTTTATTTTTAACTGTAGTAAAATATGTATAATGTAAAACTTATCATCTTAACTTTTTAAGTATACACTTGCGTAGTGTTAAGAATGTTCCCATTTTTGTGTAACCAATCTCCTGAAATTTTACATCTTGCAAAACTGAAACACTGGACCCATTAAGCCACTGCCTACCTCCCCCTCCCCTCAGCCCCTGGAAACCAGTGTTTTAAGCATCCTCCTTCAAATGTATAGTTACCTATAAGAAATGTTTTACCTGCCATTCATATTTGTGAGACAAAATGAAAAAGCACAAGATTGGGAGTCAGAAGAAGTAACGCGAAACCTAACCAATCTGCTTCCTACCTTTGTGGTCCAGGCTGTCTCCCAACCTCATTCTCCACTGGCAAAATGGTGGAATTCCTACCCTCATAGGGCCCTTATGAAGATCAAATGATAGCATAAATGGGTCTGAGCCTTTTCAAACTACAAAGTGTTACACAAACATTAAGGTCTCACTGTGATTAGTGCCCAGAGGAATCATAGTGTTAACAGGACAGTGGGAGCAGGCTGCCTGAGGTGAGAGATCTTTACAGAGGTGAGATACAGAAGGATGTGTCTGTAGGTCTGGGGAACCAGCTGGAGAGAGAGAGATATGCGAGCCAGACAGATGAATATGATGGTGCACTTTTTTAATCTATCCAAAGCAGTTTGGAGAAGGTGCCTTGGATCTGTGAGCAGGCAGTCTCCTGCATATTTCATCACTGTATTGGTGAAGCTAGACAATTCAGGGCTCTCCCTGTAAGGATTGGTCTCCTTTTATGTCATTTCAGCAAACAAACCTGGATACCGGTGCAAATCCCAGAGTAAGGACGCGAAAAGGACTGAGGCACACAGGCCAGCTCCTTCTCCCAAACCTAAGGTGGGGTGAGTGAAGGATGGTGAGAAAGACCAGGAATGTCAGGCTGTGGACTTCTTCCCTATGAAATAAAGTTGAGCAGAGCACATTTCTTACCACCACCACATCACCACTATCAGAAACCTGCCCAGCCACCCCAGCTCCCTAGAGCTGGGACAACAGCAAGGGCCATGGGAAACTAACCCCAGTGTTGCCCTTTGCTCAGAACAGAAAAAGGAAGCAATTTTCTTTCTTATTCCTTCATGCAAATTTTCCTAATTCCAGGACTTAGAAACTCAGTCTAAAATAGTCAAATCTATAGCTGAGATAGAATACACCTTAGCTATGTGCTTCTTTGTAGGCTGGAGTAAAAATTAAAGACCACTTTATCTTGCCAATGGGTTTTAGCCCTGGGCAAGTTCCCCATAGATTCAGTGAGGCCGAGGAATGAGAATGGAACATTCTTGTGGTGAAAGGGTTTATTAGCCAGCTTGTTCTCCCGGCAATAGGTGCAGCACTAGAATTACGTCTGCATCCAACAGTATGCAGGTCTGTAATCTTCCTTCATCTCTGCCTCCTCAGCCATCTCAGTCTCTGTCCTCGGCGCTGCCACCCACCACTCCAGCCTCTGCTCTGCTCTCCTGCAGCCTTGCAGCCCTGCCACCGTGTTGCCCAGAGCACTGGGTGGAGCTCTTTATGTAGAGTCAATAACGACGTATTGCCCACACGTGTGTAGTGAGCTAGCCAACCAGGGCCAGGTGAGAATCCTGACCATGAGAACCTTCACTTTATCCACAACTTCTAAAGCTGTTCCTATTGGAACAACTTAACAACTTGTGGAAATAAGCAGGCTACCAGTAATTTGTATACTGCCAGATTTACTCAAATATGAACAGTTTTAAATTATCATGATGGAGAAAGAAAATGGCACCCTTGTTTTTCAAAGAAGATATCTTCCTTAACACACTAGGGATATGTTTGCTAAGATAAAAAAAATGCATGTCCAGTGGGGTGCCCCAGCAGTGTTCTGGGTGGGTAGCAAAACCACTGAAGAGATTGAATGTAGTTATTCTATCCTCAGATTCAGAGTTGAATATAGTATTAATGTTATTATTGAGCTATCTGGGTTAGTTATTCAGTCTTGATCTCATTTCATGTTTAATTTATCTGTATTCATTTTACTGTCTAAAGTTTCTACAACTAAAACAAAAAGGGACAGGTTAACTTGAGTGTGGATTCCTGGTTAGTTTACTGACTGCACAATATATCTCTATGTCTCTTGAATTCAGTTAAATATTAGGCTTTTAAATAGCTATGAACCAAATATACATTTTGGCAGAACTTTCTCTGCAGCCGCCAGTTTAAATTCTGAATAATTTCATCCCATAGTAGCCTGTCCATATTTGTTCATTTCTAAACTTCCCTGTAGATCATGAAGTGATTTTGTTTTCTCAGAAAGCAATTAGTAACAGCTGCTTCCTAGACAAAGCTCTGTACCACTGAGAACCAGTGTTTCCCTCATAGTAAAACCTTAGAGAAAAACGGTAGTTTAGATCCCATCAGGCACTGAAGCCAGAAAGCACTTACAATCATTCCTTCCAAAAAATAAGCCAATTTCAAGTTGCTTAATTGGGCTATGTTAGTATCATTTATACTTTTTAGCAAAAATGGTAAGACTTGGCCAGTTTGTACTCTAAAAGAGAAGCTAAAATCATCCCCTACCTCCACCCTACATTCAAGCATAAATGTATCACCAGATGATATCGTTCTGGTGTTGGACAAAAACACACTGATGATACTGCTATGTTTTCTCTAAAGAGGAAAAATATGGTGAAAAGAAAATCCAATTGGCATATATTGCTCTTCTGATAAATCATATTCAATTTTAACTCACAAACTTATGGCAAAGAATTCATACTACTCAGAAATAAAGGGGAAAACCTGAAGTGGTATTTCCTTATGGGGAAACATATTGAGTTTAACAGTCTATCAAGCCAGGACTAAATTAGAAAACATCAACACTGTAGTTGTGAAACATTTGTTTGCATAATGCTCAAATCTCTCTATGGAAATAATTATAAACCTCACTAAATCCTTATTAAAAATGATCTCTCAGATGATGTTTTCCATTTATTATTAAAATGACTTTTTCAGACACCGGAAGCAAAGCCAGAGTTCTGTTCTTTGAAATAAGCAAAACGTTCTTGGCATTTATTAAATCTATTTTTTAAATCTGATTGTTTAGATTTTTATTGTAATTCCTATGCATAAAGCCACATTCATGACTTGCTAATAAAAGTCTTATTGTCAGATTTCTGGAATGTACAATAATGATGCAGTTCAAGTCGAAGTGTTTGATGGTTGTTACCATGACAGCAAGACTGAAATGGACCACACATCCTTTGCTGTACACTCAGAAGGTGATTCCAGGTGAGAAGACACATAGGTAGCCCCCAGCACAGAGTCATCTTGGATTAAAAAAAAAAACAATTCCCAGTGTAGCAAGCTTGTTGAGAAGTCACACTAGAAACAGCAAACAACTTTTGACTATGAGTTGGAGGGCACTCGACTAAACTGGAAGTCAGCCAGTCACCTCTCCTAGCCTAAAGATTTCAAAGTTGACTGATTTACACCTAGAAAAGAATTTAAGGTCTTAGGAGAATTTGACTCCATAAAAAGAGTCACAGGCATGAGTATTATGTAAACACAATTTCCATAGGGAGGGGCTTTGTGACTACTTCATCTGGACTTTCCTTGCTTTCTAAACATGAATTGTCCATATTTAATTAAGAAATGAAATTAGACTGCAGGAATAATTCTATAACGTTTGTTCCTTATTGTTATCCAAGTGCCAGGTTACCTACCAGAGCTGAACCCTCCTAAGGAAGAACGTCAGCATTCCGGGACACCAGGGACACTGACACAGCCGAGGCCCATGAAGAGGCTCTGCCCTTCCCATCTGCAATCAAGTCTCTTGTTTTAGTTCACTAGTAAGTTTCATATATTATTAAATCCAAGGGGGACAAAAAAATCTAAATTTTTCTCAATCTTCCCATTTAATTGTTAAATTAATATGTCAATCGTCAATAGCAGCATTTTGTATTTTGTATTATTTGAGATAATAGTTTTCATAGCTTTCTGGAGGCGTTTAGTAATTAGTTACTTTATTCACCAAATGTTTGTTGCCCTCCTACATGTGCCAGGCACTTTATTAGGTATTACATACTAAAAAATGCTTACCAAATGACATTCCTGCCATCAGTAAGCATGCAGCCCAGCAGGAACAATGAACTGGTGGCTCTAAGAAATAATAAACATAATGGATGTTAAAATCAAGGTATGTACACTGTGCTGAGTTCCGAAAAAGGAATACCAAAAAAAAGGAAAAGAACATCTACAAAGGGATGTGGACTTTCAATCTGTAAAAAATTAGATACTTCTAGACATGGTATTGAGTGAAAAATTGGATGAAATTTTTGTATCCCATAGTAACCTTAATAACTTAGATTGAACTAATTAAATCAGGCCAACTGGGTATTAAATAAATGTTTATTAAGTAGAAAAGCCTCCAATGATCAGCATTCATTTTGTAGACTGGCAGTGTGCATGCTTTTGTGTTGAGCATTTTGTGAAAAAGATCCCATTTAGAGATAAGCCCTGGTAGGAAGTATGAAATACTTCCTTCCCTATTTTGATTTCTGCGATTGAATTAAGGGAAATAAATGATGTATTACTTTCAGTGTATTGCCATTTATTCCACCATAAAGTCAACCAAATGATTTGAATTATTTCATGTCAAATTAGGAGAATCAAACTGAACCATCATATATATCAGCTCCGTGATATAGGCCTTGCAGAGATTATTGTCTCTGTTTTAAAACTGAGGCAGCACAGTTTTAGTGAAGTGATTTGCTGGAAGATTCACAGCCAACAGAGCTGCAGCTGCCATTCAGACCCCCTGTAAGGCTACTTCATTCTTTTATTTTATATCATTTGAGTCAAAGCTGTAATGGGAGCTGAGTTTGCCTTATTGCAGATGCTTCCATGTCTTTTGTTGACAGCACATAAGTATGCGTGTCCCGTCCCATCCATACCCACAGTGGCTGCACTGCAGCTGTGGGAAAACCAGGCATCTTTAGAAGAGTGCGCAGTAACGGGTGCGCGCGCATCACCTGGGACTCGTTCAGCTTTGTTCAGTAGCTCTGCGGCGGGATCTGAGAGTCTGCGTCTCTACCAAGCCCCGGATGCTGCTGATCCATTGCCCACCCTGTGAGTATCAATAATTTAGATCATCTGTGAAATGAAAGGTGACAGAGAAATGTGTGACAAGGGAAAGAATTCTGTTGATCTTGTTTTATTTTTATGTGGGAAGTAGTTAACCCAAGAAAGAGGCACTGAAGTAATTTTGGCAACCCTCTATCTAGTCCTCTGACTCCAGAATAGATACAAAGCATCTACCTCTCCCTGCCCCACCTGCCACACATTTGTTCACACTACCTGAATTTTTTTTTCACTTGATGAAGTTGTACACAATCTTCTTATGTACCACTAAAAGATTCTTTTGAATTAATAAGCATGTTTTTTAAAATTATTTTTTATTTTTAACTGTAGTAAAATATGTATAATGTAAAACTTACCATCTTAACTTTTTAAGTATACACTTGCGTAGTGTTAAGAATGTTCCCATTTTTGTGTAACCAATCTCCTGAAATTTTTCATCTTGCAAAACTGAAACACTGGACCCATTAAGCCACTGCCTACCTCCCCCTCCCCTCAGCCCCTGGAAACCAGTGTTTTAAGCATCCTCCTTCAAATGTATAGTTACCTATAAGAAATGTTTTACCTGCCATTCATATTTGTGAGACAAAATGAAAAAGCACAAGATTGGGAGTCAGAAGAAGTAACGCGAAACCTAACCAATCTGCTTCCTACCTTTGTGGTCCAGGCTGTCTCCCAACCTCATTCTCCACTGGCAAAATGGTGGAATTCCTACCCTCATAGGGCCCTTATGAAGATCAAATGATAGCATAAATGGGTCTGAGCCTTTTCAAACTACAAAGTGTTACACAAACATTAAGGTCTCACTGTGATTAGTGCCCAGAGGAATCATAGTGTTAACAGGACAGTGGGAGCAGGCTGCCTGAGGTGAGAGATCTTTACAGAGGTGAGATACAGAAGGATATGTCTGTAGGTCTGGGGAACCAGCTGGAGAGAGAGAGATATGCGAGCCAGACAGATGAATATGATGGTGCACTTTTTTAATCTATCCAAAGCAGTTTGGAGAAGGTGCCTTGGATCTGTGAGCAGGCAGTCTCCTGCATACTTCATCACTGTATTGGTGAAGCTAGACAATTCAGGGCTCTCCCTGTAAGGATTGGTCTCCTTTTATGTCATTTCAGCAAACAAACCTGGATACCGGTGCAAATCCCAAAGTAAGGACGCGAAAAGGACTGAGGCACACAGGCCAGCTCCTTCTCCCAAACCTAAGGTGGGGTGAGTAAAGGATGGTGAGAAAGACCAGGAATGTCAGGCTGTGGACTTCTTCCCTATGAAATAAAGTTGAGCAGAGCACATTTCTTACCACCACCACATCACCACTATCACAAACCTGCCCAGCCATCCCAGCTCCCTAGAGCTGGGACAACAGCAAGGGCCATGGGAAACTAACCCCAGTGTTGCCCTTTGCTCAGAACAGAAAAAGGAAGCAATTTTCTTTCTTATTCCTTCATGCAAATTTTCCTAATTCCAGGACTTAGAAACTCAGTCTAAAATAGTCAAATCTATAGCTGAGATAGAATACACCTTAGCTATGTGCTTCTTTGTAGGCTGGAGTAAAAATTAAAGACCACTTTATCTTGCCAATGGGTTTTAGCCCTGGGCAAGTTCCCCATAGATTCAGTGAGGCCGAGGAATCAGAATGGAACATTCTTGTGGTGAAAGGGTTTATTAGCCAGCTTGTTCTCCCAGCAATAGGTGCAGCACTAGAATTACGTCTGCATCCAACAGTATGCAGGTCTGTAATCTTCCTTCATCTCTGCCTCCTCAGCCATCTCAGTCTCTGTCCTCGGCGCTGCCACCCACCACTCCAGCCTCTGCTCTGCTCTCCTGCAGCCTTGCAGCCCTGCCACCGTGTTGCCCAGAGCACTGGGTGGAGCTCTTTATGTAGAGTCAATAACGACGTATTGCCCACACGTGTGTAGTGAGCTAGCCAACCAGGGCCAGGTGAGAATCCTGACCATGAGAACCTTCACTTTATCCACAACTTCTAAAGCTGTTCCTATTGGAACAACTTAACAACTTGTGGAAATAAGCAGGCTACCAGTAATTTGTATACTGCCAGATTTACTCAAATATGAACAGTTTTAAATTATCATGATGGAGAAAGAAAATGGCACCCTTGTTTTTCAAAGAAGATATCTTCCTTAACACACTAGGGATATGTTTGCTAAGATAAAAAAAATGCATGTCCAGTGGGGTGCCCCAGCAGTGTTCTGGGTGGGTAGCAAAACCACTGAAGAGATTGAATGTAGTTATTCTATCCTCAGATTCAGAGTTGAATATACTATTAATGTTATTATTGAGCTATCTGGGTTAGTTATTCAGTCTTGATCTCATTTCATGTTTAATTTATCTGTATTCATTTTACTGTCTAAAGTTTCTACAACTAAAACAAAAAGGGACAGGTTAACTTCAGTGTGGATTCCTGGTTAGTTTACTGACTGCACAATATATCTCTATGTCTCTTGAATTCAGTTAAATATTAGGCTTTTAAATAGCTATGGACCAAATATACATTTTGGCAGAACTTTCTCTGCAGCCACCAGTTTAAATTCTGAATAATTTCATCCCATAGTAGCCTGTCCATATTTGTTCATTTCTAAACTTCCCTGTAGATCATGAAGTGATTTTGTTTTCTCAGAAAGCAATTAGTAACAGCTGCTTCCTAGACAAAGCTCTGTACCACTGAGAACCAGTGTTTCCCTCATAGTAAAACCTTAGAGAAAAACGGTAGTTTAGATCCCATCAGGCACTGAAGCCAGAAAGCACTTACAATCATTCCTTCCAAAAAATAAGCCAATTTCAAGTTGCTTAATTGGGCTATGTTAGTATCATTTATACTTTTTAGCAAAAATGGTAAGACTTGGCCAGTTTGTACTCTAAAAGAGAAGCTAAAATCATCCCCTACCTCCACCCTACATTCAAGCATAAATGTATCACCAGATGATATCGTTCTGGTGTTGGACAAAAACACACTGATGATACTGCTATGTTTTCTCTAAAGAGGAAAAATATGGTGAAAAGAAAATCCAATTGGCATATATTGCTCTTCTGATAAATCATATTCAATTTTAACTCACAAACTTATGGCAAAGAATTCATACTACTCAGAAATAAAGGGGAAAACCTGAAGTGGTATTTCCTTATGGGGAAACATATTGAGTTTAACAGTCTATCAAGCCAGGACTAAATTAGAAAACATCAACACTGTAGTTGTGAAACATTTGTTTGCATAATGCTCAAATCTCTCTATGGAAATAATTATAAACCTCACTAAATCCTTATTAAAAATGATCTCTCAGATGATGTTTTCCATTTATTATTAAAATGACTTTTTCAGACACCGGAAGCAAAGCCAGAGTTCTGTTCTTTGAAATAAGCAAAACGTTCTTGGCATTTATTAAATCTATTTTTTAAATCTGATTGTTTAGATTTTTATTGTAATTCCTATGCATAAAGCCACATTCATGACTTGCTAATAAAAGTCTTATTGTCAGATTTCTGGAATGTACAATAATGATGCAGTTCAAGTCGAAGTGTTTGATGGTTGTTACCATGACAGCAAGACTGAAATGGACCACACATCCTTTGCTGTACACTCAGAAGGTGATTCCAGGTGAGAAGACACATAGGTAGCCCCCAGCACAGAGTCATCTTGGATTAAAAAAAAAAACAATTCCCAGTGTAGCAAGCTTGTTGAGAAGTCACACTAGAAACAGCAAACAACTTTTGACTATGAGTTGGAGGGCACTCGACTAAACCGGAAGTCAGCCAGTCACCTCTCCTAGCCTAAAGATTTCAAAGTTGACTGATTTACACCTAGAAAAGAATTTAAGGTCTTAGGAGAATTTGACTCCATAAAAAGAGTTACAGGCATGAGTATTATGTAAACACAATTTCCATAGGGAGGGGCTTTGTGACTACTTCATCTGGACTTTCCTTGCTTTCTAAACATGAATTGTCCATATTTAATTAAGAAATGAAATTAGACTGCAGGAATAATTCTATAACGTTTGTTCCTTATTGTTATCCAAGTGCCAGGTTACCTACCAGAGCTGAACCCTCCTAAGGAAGACCGTCAGCATTCCGGGACACCAGGGACACTGACACAGCCGAGGCCCATGAAGAGGCTCTGCCCTTCCCATCTGCAATCAAGTCTCTTGTTTTAGTTCACTAGTAAGTTTCATATATTATTAAATCCAAGGGGGACAAAAAAATCTAAATTTTTCTCAATCTTCCCATTTAATTGTTAAATTAATATGTCAATCGTCAATAGCAGCATTTTGTATTTTGTATTATTTGAGATAATAGTTTTCATAGCTTTCTGGAGGCGTTTAGTAATTAGTTACTTTATTCACCAAATGTTTGTTGCCCTCCTACATGTGCCAGGCACTTTATTAGGTATTACATACTAAAAAATGCTTACCAAATGACATTCCTGCCATCAGTAAGCATGCAGCCCAGCAGGAACAATGAACTGGTGGCTCTAAGAAATAATAAACATAATGGATGTTAAAATCAAGGTATGTACACTGTGCTGAGTTCCGAAAAGGGAATACCAAAAAAAAGGAAAAGAACATCTACAAAGGGATGTGGACTTTCAATCTGTAAACAATTAGATACTTCTAGACATGGTATTGAGTGAAAAATTGGATGAAATTTTTGTATCCCATAGTAACCTTAATAACTTAGATTGAACTAATTAAATCAGGCCAAGTGGGTATTAAATAAATGTTTATTAAGTAGAAAAGCCTCCAATGATCAGCATTCATTTTGTAGACTGGCAGTGTGCATGCTTTTGTGTTGAGCATTTTGTGAAAAAGATCCCATTTAGAGATAAGCCCTGGTAGGAAGTATGAAATACTTCCTTCCCTATTTTGATTTCTGCGATTGAATTAAGGGAAATAAATGATGTATTACTTTCAGTGTATTGCCATTTATTCCACCATAAAGTCAACCAAATGATTTGAATTATTTCATGTCAAATTAGGAGAAAAATAACTTCTGTTTGGTTACCAATAACACTGGTTTTGGTTCTCTGCTGTGAATGACATAGGGTTCTAGAAGCTTATTCTTGGGTGTAAAAGATTTAAAGGTGAATTCTTTCTCTAGTATAACTTCCCTCAAAGGCAGGCTGATTCTGGGATACTTCATTCTATTTTCTTAATGCAACTTTTCCTTCTTTCTAAACTTTCCAAGGACTATATTTTTCTAGGAAAATTGAGCTAGCACAATTTATTTAAAACCCTTCTCTATTTAATTGTAGGCTAACCATAAATAAAATTTAAAACTACTTAATAGTTTTTAAGCTTGATATAAAAGGGATAGTAATTATTATAAGATTATATTTTTAAAATACAGATTAATATACTAGGTGGTTCTTTGTGAATTTGTAGCTATTATTTAAACAGAGTACTACAGCTGGATTAACATTTCTGATTCTGACATACTTTGTATATAATTGCTGTTAAAAAAAAGGGGGACAAATCTACAAACGAACAAAATAAATCTACACTGTTCTCTTCCTCCAACTCTCTGTTTCTTGAGACATTGCTATTTTTCTTCTACTTTGAACTATAATATTTACGATGTCTAATGCTTCCCTGGAGCATATTTATTTCACAATTTTAAATCAAATGCATCACTGACTACATTTGGCAATCTAGACTAGAAAAATGGGTCTCAAGCACACTACACATGTGCCTGGCATTCCTCTTGAGGAGCATTAATGAACAGTTGTTGGCCAATCAAACGTAACTCTTGCTAATGTCTAGAAACACAGTTATTTGATTTTTTAGGAATAGATGGTTATTGCTAAAATATGTTTATTGCTCATGAGAATTATGGAGCTCCTAGGATATTAATCAATTTACTTTTCAAATCGGTGGCTCCTGATGACTATGAAGACAGAGCTGTTCCTGTGAGTTTCATTCCTACTAGGGAGCAACAAGGTTTCTGGGTTGGTTCTTACTTCAAGAAGAATGAAAATACAGTTACCTGGGAAATACATGAGTGAAAGACAGAATATAATAGTTATACCACATTTTGATTTTCACTTCATTTACTGATCACAATCCAGAACAGACTGACTGTTCTCTGAAGGATAAGTTTGGATAAAATGTGAGAACTTCAAAATAAACTGCTTTCCAAGATTAAGAAAAAGCCAGACAGCTCTGTAAACTGACTAAATATAGAAACAGGCTATTTTATAGGGACTACTCTGGACAACCTATGAAAAGATATATTCTTAACTTAATGTTTTTTTGTGATTACAAAAGAAATACAATTTCATTATAAAAATTAAAAATAGCAGTTGGCAAAAAAGTATAATCCACTCAGAATTAAGTGGTTAACATTTTAATATATATTCTTAAGAGTTTTTCTATGTACAACATATTTTTCTAATGGAATCATTTTGTGTATAATTTCATTAATCAATTTAAATACTTATACCAAACACTGTACTGGAGATATATTAGCAAAGGATGGACACTCACTGACTCTTTTGAGTTTATATTCTATTTGGGAATGTTTCTAAATTTTGGCATTTGTAGCCAGCTTTTCTTCTCTAGATTATAAACAATTTTTTTCAATTTGTTCACTTTTTTATGAACAAATTTCTATGTCATTTTTTTTTCCTGCAAACTAACTTTTATATGTTGAAGAGCAGTACACTAAATGAGCGTACTGTAGTTTACTTAATCCATCTCCTCCTGTGGGACATTTGCTTTATTTCCTATTGTGTGCTATTATAATGGGTTGCAGTCCACAATGTAAACAATATTTAGAAATAAAATTATTTTAGAAACAAATGAAATTTCTAGCCATATCCAAATTTCCTTTATAAGAATTTATTTTCTTTATAAGAATTATTGTTCACCACTAGAATCTTCTATGTCAGGTTCACTCACCTGTCTGTCCAGAAGCTCTCAGATATAGATGACTGTTAACTGAAGAAACTTTCTTATTTTTAGTTCATTTTTCCCCCAAAAGCAGACTCTTTATATATACACTTACCCACTGGCATTCTCTTTATACAAAAGAAGTTTCAACATTGTATAAAATACTTATATTAAAGTAGTCCTATTTATTGAAATCTTGCTTCTTCCCATTACTGTTATTGCCATCACAAGCTGTCTTGAGCAGAATAACTGACATTGCAAATATTTACAGATGAGTAGCCACAAAATCATAATCTGTGGTTACAATGTCTTAATCCTTGCAGGTGGTTCAGTTTTCATGAATAAGGTCATTCATTTTGTATCATGTCACTCACAAATCTGTTCAAATCTCTGTCACACAGACATGCACACATATAATATTTTCAACATGGAGATTAATGAGGAATGGAATTATACCTAATTCTGTCATCATTATTAACGTCAAAATTCTAATAAGATTATACAACACCCTCAAAGAAGCAAGAGAACAGGTGGTAAGGAAATTGCTATTTTAACTGTGATTTGGTACCTGGTGCTGCTGTTACTTCCTAGCAGGGCCTTAGTCAAAGCAATCAATGTCACACTCCAACTATCACATTTGTGGAATGGAGCCACCTATTCTTTCTTTGTAAACATTGCTTTAAACACACTCTATCAAACTATAAAGTCCTGCGTAATTTCAAAGTCATATCACTTTCCAACTGTAATTTGACTTCCCTGGGTTTAACAAAGAATTTGAATTTTTTTTTTTCTTGTAAAGAAACTGAGAGAGACAAAATGCACTGGATAACTAGGGAGATGACTTCATCAGGCCACTGCAATAGGAAGGCTCTCCATCGATGAGGAACATCTCAAATTAAAGGAAGAGGGCTGAGAAAACCGCAGAGGCAGATAAACAAGGGAATCATATTCAGCCAGAAGGGCAGAGGTGGATGTTACCCCAGAACACAGGAGAGCAAGGTTATCATTTCTTAGAAGACAAAATGGTAGAGGGATTTTTCAGTTCTTGCTACTTCCCAGGAATACATGGGCTTCAGATAAAGTTCAACATTGTCAGTTGTTCTTCCATTTCAATCCTCTGTGGAATCATGGTTTTTGGGCAGTGATGGTGCCAAGTGTGGAAGAGAGATGTCACAGTCACTGAGAAAAATGTCAATGTTTTTTTCAATATATTGATACTTAATTTGTTGTGGGAAGCACAACAAACTGTATTTTATTGACGATTATATCATTTGAAGGATGAGATGTTACTTCTAATCCTAGGACCAATATAATTCATTATAAGAACATTTTCTGCAAGAGTGCTTCAAAGGCTTTCTAAAAAATTGTGCTGCTAGTTGACCACTCCTTGCCTTAGGCAATCAAAGTAGATGAAGTTATAATATTAGCAACTATTTCTAAGCCTATTGTAAAGTAGTAAGACTTTCTGAAGTTTGGTTTATAACCCCGTGTCCTTTAAAAATGACATCTAGGTTCTAATATTTCCAAAAAGACTAGCTAATGAACAAGGCATCCTAAGAAAAGAAGTGCTTACACCCACATGCATTTCTTCTCATCTCCAGGGAACATTAATGCAAGTGTTTCAAGTGCTTGGCACGTTAAAGAAGTGTTATGAACACAAACCCACACATCCAATAAATTTTTAGAGCAATCACACCACCCCAAAATAACCTTAAAATATGTTTTGTTAATTAGTTGTACCCTGGGTGAGGTCATATTTAAATTAGATTTTGTATCAACATGAAAGGACCCTTAGAACCTGCTAAGCAGCTTTTAAATAAATATGTAGTTCAGGCAGACAGAAGGAAAGAGAAGGTTTGTGAAACTGAGTTCTAATAATTTAATCTAAACTATGAAGATAATACAATCTGAAGTAGAAGAAGAGAAAAATAAGGTAAAGGAAACTCAAGGTAGAAGCTAAAAGTGTGGTTGGTCTACAAAAGGAACTTCTGAAAGTCCTACAGTATATATCTTGGGGGAAGATTTGGATTTGAATGTAGAATTAATTATATTTGATTATTTTGGATAATATCCTGGTCTAGATTAATGCAATCAGATGATTATTGCTCATTTGTACAGAAGATGGTGAGACTTTGGGCAATTAAGCAATTAATTCATGTTGGTCACCAAGAA